TTAGGTTTAGAAAGTTTTTAGACACAAATACTAAATGCATGATCCACACAAGAAGAAATTAACAAATGGAACTGCAAGAAAGACTTTTGCTCTGAAATAGATACTGTTAAAAGAATGAAAAGACAAGCCAAATGAAAAGAAATGCAAACCTGCCCTGGAGGTTGTGGAAAGGATATCTCCTTCTGTATGACTCGGCTTGATGCCTGTCCTCATCCCTAGCTGCTATTTCTCCTCTGTACTTGGCTTGGGAGGTGGGTAATAGGGAAGGTGCAGGTCTTACTTGGATAGGTAGATTCCCACTCTGAAGACCTGAAAGATGGCTCAAGTTCATTCTTCTGAGGCTCTTCAGCTGAAGCCCTCCTCCTGTGACTCCCCTCCTCCTGTGACTCCCCTGGACGCAGACATATGCATCCGCCCTTCAGGTAGCCACTTATGGAGTATCCTGCTGTTCACTTCAAGCTTCTTCCTAACAAACTGCAAGAAATAGCTTTTCTCCAGTTGATTCTATTGAATGGTGAACCCAAGAGGACCTCAGATCACCTTGTTACTTACTCACTCTCTCTACTGTGTAGTGCCTTCTGACAAACACATGTCTCTATTAAAAAAAAAATCTTGGGAGTGCTATACATCTCAATGCAGCAACACTCTCCAGTATCCAAGGCATCTGTGGGCTCCTTCAGAGACCTCTAGTTTCCTACTTTAGAGAAAGACCCCAATCTACCCTCCTAGGCATGGAGTAGGCAGCAGTCTTTTGTATTCCTCAAACAAAGGGAACATATTCCAAAGCTCCCCTAGAGAACTCTCTTGAAACTCTTCTCACTTGACATGTAGTGAGAATAGCACAACCCTCTGCCCTCACCCCAAAGCACAGCCCACAATCGTGGCTCCCTCCAAAGAACCTCTTTAATAACCTCTTCAAATCATCCCCCCTTTCCTTTTCAGGTCTTTGATCCTGCTGAATAATCTCTAGGACAAGGAATAGTTCCCATCTCACTTTTTTTGTAAATTATTTCTGAGGAAGAGGGTTGTCTCACATGACAAATATCCTGATCTCATCTACTGGACCCTCTGTGGAAAATGAGGCAGAGTAGTAGTACTGCACACCCTCCAGGAAGGACACAATGAGAAAGACAGAGTGGTGAATGCTGGAGAGGACAACGGACCAATTAAAATTTTCATAATCTCCTCTAAG